GGCAAAGTCATAACAACATCAATCTTAGAACATAATGGATACTAGGGATCAAACCATAACAAAACTAACTCGACTACATGGTAAATCTCATCCAACCCATCACCGTCCAGCAATCCTACGATGAGATTACTCACGCACGGCGGTGATCATCATGAAATGGGTGATGAAGGATGGTTGATGATGACGACGACGACGGATTCCCCTCTCCGGAGCCCCGAACGGACTCCAGATCAGCCCTACCGAGGAAGAACAGGGTTTGGCGGTGGCTTCGTATCGTAAAACGCGATGAATCCTCCTCTTTGATTTTTCTCCCCGAACGTGAATATGTGGAGTTGGAGTTGAGGTCGGTGGAGCTCCAGGGGGCCCACGAGGTAGGGGGCATGCCCTAGGGCGTCCCCTACCCTCGTGGCCAAGGTGTGGGCCCCCTTTTGTTAATTTTTTTGCCAGTATTTTTTATTAATTCCAAAAAGTGCCTCCGTGAAGTTTCAAATCATTCCGAGAACTTTTATTTCTGCACAAAAATAACACCATGGCAATTCTGCTGAAAACAGCGTCAGTCCGGGTCAGTTCCATTCAAATCATGCAAGTTAGAGTCCAAAACATGGGCAAAAGAGTTTGGAAAATTAGATACATTGGCGACATATCACCCCTCTTGTGACAAAACTTGCAATTGAAGAGACAAAAGACATTAGAATTGCATCTAAAAGTGAAACATAATTTTCAAACAATATAAATAATAGTAGAAAAACATGATGCAAAATGGACATATCAACTCCCTCAAGTTTAGTCTCCGCTTGTACCAGAGCGAATAACGAACTCGATAATCATGGCCACAGGTTTATAGAGAGAGGTGTCGATAAAACAAAATATGGACATGGCAACATCATGATCGTTATTATAAAAGCAAGTATCAATAGTAAAACTTCTCATGATCAAGTAACACTTCACTCACAAGCTGAAGTATAAACAATAAACTTTCCTCAAAACTAACAAACTATGTTTTAGTCATCAATGCAATTGCAATTCATTACATTTCACAAACTTCATATACTCAACCATTTTATAGTCTTCCATGATTGTTGCCACTCAAAGCATATCTTTAGAACAAACTATTTCAATCGAACAAAGTGATATTGGGCCAACCCAAGTAGCGTAGGTCCCTCTTTCGGTTTTGGGAACCTTACTAGACCAGTTTTTCTCATACTTTTTTTATTTTTGTTTTCCTTTTTTATTTTTCTTTTTCATTTTTACGAGCATCTTTTGAATCCACAAAAAAATTTTGAATTTGTGATTTTTTATAGCATGAACATTTTTTGAAATCTTGAACATTGTTCAAATCTTTAAATATTTTTTAAAAAAATTGGCGATCCATTAACCTTTTTTAGAAGTTCACGCACATTCTTTTGAAATCATGGACATTTTTTAAATCCACAAACATTTTTTTTTAAAAATCACAAACACTTTTACAAATTCGCAAACATTTTTTTAATTCGAGAAAACTTTGAAAATTTGTGAAGAATTTTGAAATTCGATTTTTGTTTGAAATGCTGAACAGTTTTTAATGAAGCAAAAAAAAATAACGAAAGAGCCCCAAAAGCATTCGCGGGGGTGCGCGTTTTTGCGTTCTCCATCGCGCAGGTTGCGAAATAGGAGCACCCCCTGAACTCCTCCGCGGATTTTTAAAAAAACTCCGCGAATAAATTCCCACTGGTTATCCCTGTCACAGCCTGCGGCGGAGGCGGCGGCGCGATTGGAGGATCCGCCACCAAGACCACAGTCGTTCGGCGGCGGCGGCGCGATTGCTAGAGGAGGTTCGGTTGGTTCCTCGATCGGGTTCCAAGAAAGAAGATGAGTGCGGCGGGTGTGAAGAGGTCCAGCCTAGACGGTCCCTTGCCGGAGAAGAAGAAGAAGAAGGTGATTGTGTGGAGAGATCCAGACGCGTGGGTTATCAGCGATGCCGACTTGGCCAAGATGAAACGCGAGGAAGAATCAGGTCCGTCTCATCGATTATTTCATCAATTTCAGTTTACTAGCAACGCAACTGTTTAATTAATTAATTATTAACTCTCGTTCGATATATAGCTCCCCCGCCTGTGAAAATCCCTACGCTCGATTACTTCAAACCCCCGACCCGGTTTCACACTGCCGAGCTCTTCTCCGTCAGTGAATCTGGAAGCAAGGCGGTGCTCTCTGCTGCCAAATTCCTTCTAGGGGTTTCATCCTCTCTTGGTATGTAGTATGTGTATATATATATGCAGCTCTGCTTTGCAGCCTCTCTGTTTTGAATCAGCCTGGCTTGCACCCTCTGTTTTGGATTTGATTGATAAATCAACTTAATGTGTGTACCGTGCTTGAATCACACAGACGGTGAACCGCTGAGACGCTGCTCCGGCTTCTGGGTCGATTGGGACAAGGAGAAGAAAACCGGCCTTGTTTTGACAACTGCGTGGCTGATTCGCACAAAGGATGCTCCTTTCAGTGTCTGGTGAGGCGGCGAAGAGTATGCCCCTCATGCTGATGTGAGTCATATGTAGTGTTTCTTCTGAAAATTTCTACCCTTGTATCATTCTTTTCCAGCCGCTCCCACCCCAAAATAAATCTCCGGTGTAAATCTAACTAGTTACAATTCGCTTGTTTTTTTTTTGTGTGCTGGCCTTTCCTAGTAACAAAATGAAAGCGGCACATGCGTTTGCTTACTAAGCATTGTTCAAAAATCTTATATAATCTATTCCACAACTTTTTTTCAGTTCACTGTTCATTTGCAAAGGACAGAGCACATGTTTTTTGTGCTGGCTATTGGCCTTTTCTGATAGCAAAAGGGAAACATCATATGCGATTTGCTTACTAGGCATTGTTCAAAATTCTAATACAATCTGTTCCGCAACTTTTTTAGGTCACTGTTCATTTGCTAAATGGCACCAGTGCAAAGGGCACGCTGGTCTACTATCAGCCCCATTACGATATTGCTTTCTTGAATGTCGAAGTGGATCAACCAATCAAGTTACCAACTTTTTGTGAAAAGGATGTAAAATTTGCTGAAGACATTTTTCGGCTCGGAAGAGACAATTCCTTAAATCTAAGGATAACATATGCTAGGGCAGAATATCGGAATCCAAACATGTACCGGCGGTACCACAATGTGCACTTCCGTTCTCCAGATGGCCATGGTGATGATAATGCGGTAATATATCTTATCATGAGGTAGTACTATATGCATTTGTTACAACTTTGAGTTTTTCTATGTCATTTGTTTTATAACATTTTTCTTATTACTGTAAATTCTCATGTTTTGTCAATATGAATTGTTGCAGTATGACAATGGGGGACTAGTCATTGACTTGAAGGAGAAAGTTGTCGGAATGGTCAACCTCCCTAAGAGATTTGGGTCTTTTATACCGTCTTCCATTTTGCTCAATTGTTTGGATTAATGGAAGAAACATCGGTTCGTTTTTCCTCTCAGCTCTGTGATAGCATCTATATGATTATTTGATGATGCTAAGCTAATGTGTTCCTCCTATTTTTTCTTCTTATTGTTAGAAGTCGAACTATTTTTTGTAGTATCTATTTGCCCACTTTTATGCAATTTAACATTGTTCGGTAATTGGTAGCATATCTGTTGGGTGCTGAGTAGGGATTAATCGGCTTATCAGCCTATTAACTGAATTTATTGGTAGGTTGACTAGGGTATATCCTAGGCTGCATCTGAATTTCTTTTCCATGTTGGGGCACTTGCTGCAGCAGAAGAAGCCATAGATTGCTACAATTGTCAAATGCACCACATCAGTATATAGTACTCCCTCCGTTCCTAAATATAAGTCTTTGTAGAGATTTCACTATGGACCACATACGGATGTATATAGATGCATTTTAGAGTATAGATTCTTTCATTTTACTCCGTATGTGGTCTATAGTGAAATCTCTCCAAAGACTTATATTTAGGAACGGAGGGAGTATATACTAGATACTACATAGGAGAGCAGCAACAGCAGTATTACATCACAGAGGAGAGGAGTTTAACTTGCTACGTCAGCGGCAGCTCAGAGCACGGGCTGTGGCTGCTACTCCACGTGCGGGAGAAGGGAGGGAATGGTCTAACCTAATGTGCGGTAGGCTTTGGGGAAAGGGAGGGAACGGGCTAAATTTGGGCCAAAATTGCCCAGGCAGTTAATCGGCCCAGCCGACAATTCGGTCTGACAGCCAATTAATCGGCTTATCAGACAGGTAAATCGATCCACCCAGTTAATTGCGGGAATAGGTGGTTTTCATATCAGCAGGTGGTCGAGAGACGATTAACTGTCCGATATGCGGAGATTAACTCGCCGATATTTTTAACGGTGCAATTTAATGACCATAAGTTACATTAAGATTCTCAAAGCAAATGTGATTAGTGCTGTGTTTTATGTATATATACATAGTCGTATGTTTGAACAAGTGGCTGCAATAAATTATTTAGCAATAATAATTATTTACAAGCAAATCAAGAACTAGAAATAAACAAGTAGAACCACGCCGAGAGTACAAAATGGTTCATGATGATAACTATTTATAAGAAGGAACTGATAAGACTTTATAATTCTGCTTCGCATGTTTAGCCAAATTGTAGAGTGAAATTAAATGGAAAACTATGTTTTAGGTTTTATCTTAATTGACAATTTTTCCTGAAACCTAGGAGATTTTCAAATGTTTTTTGTGGTACTCAGTTGTCCTCGGTCATATTGAAATATGATGTTTTGCATTTATGTAATATCATGAAAAACAGTCTTTGTGCATTTTTCAACCACTATGAATTATCCAATGAATGATTCCTCCCCTTTGGGTCTTTTTGAGCTCTATTTGAATCAAAATAGTTGGTTACCGTTTTTTTTAACATGTTAGATAGAAGCTGAATTCCACAAAAGACTGCTTATTGTGGAAGGGTTACTTACTCCTGTATACCTGGCTCGAAATATGTTAAATGGTGTCTGATTTGGCGCAGGTACATCGCTCGGCCCCATCTTGGGATGACGTTTGAGGCCATCAAGCTTCTAGAGCCTGCTCATGTTGATATGTTATGGCGTATGTATAACATTGATCATGGTCTTATTGTTCAAGAGGTATGTAATGGCTTCCTGAAGGTGCTCTTTTTCCCATGTGTATATGGTATAACTATTTGGCAATTGAACCCTAGGTGTCGAAAGGATCTAATGCTGAGATACTCGGAATCCAAAAAGGTGATGTTATTGAATCTATCAATGGAAAACCTGTTTCTACCACAATTGAGGTGGGTGTATTAGGATTTTGTTAGGTTAATGAGTTGAAAATAAATTACATTTGTGTGATAGTTGGTAGCTTCACGGCCTTGACTGCAATGTTTTTTCTCTGTAATTATCAGTTGGAGAATATGCTGATGAGCACATGCAAGGGCCTTGCTGAAGTTCATATTTCTGTAAGTTTATTTCTATATTATAACGGCGGTTTGCTTGACCACCACCATCCATTCCTCTGTACCGCAGTATTACTAGCAAGATGCTAGCACTAAGAGATTTGTTTCACTAACTCCATAGGTTGGGGTGTTTCACACACTTAAAGAAGAACGAAGCACCGTAGAGTTGAGTGCAAAATTATCAAAACTTGGAGAAGTTATTACAAGCTAGGTACACGTCTCCTCTTTTAACTAGGCCCTTCTACAAATTATTATCCAGATTATTAGTTCATTTCTCAAGTATGTATATTCCATTTTTTTGTAGATAATAATTATCCAGACATAATGCTAATGTTAAGTATGTAAGCTTATATAGTTATATGCATTGTGCAATACACTCTTATAATAATTACATGATTATATGTTTAAAATAATCATACAACACCATAAAGTATGCTGATATTTTCGGAGTTTACCGTGTTGGTTAATAGGTGGTGTGCAGCAAGTAAATTGTGTAGAAAACAGACTTCATCCATGTTTCTTTTAGCAAAGCATCCATCTTCCATCTGTAGACTTGAAAGTTTTTGGATTTTTTTTGCAACAAGAGATGTATGTTTGTGCTTGGTAGGTTTGTCGAACTTTGAGTTGTTTGACATTTTGCAAAGAATGTGGATTATTAGATATTGCTTGCATGCAAAAGACACTCACGTTGTGTTATGATTTGTTACATGTCGTACAGACTCTGGAAGTGGCTGACAGAAGAGGGATGCCAGGCTACTGGATGTTGTTTCTGTGGTGGACCGTGGGCGTACTGTGATAGATACTTAGCTATGACCACATATATGTACTCTAGTCTCTAGCTATATTAGGAGCAACATCTTTATTTGTAATGTACTCCCTCTGTTCCTAAATGTAAGTCTTTGTAGAGATTCCACTAGGTGGACTACATACGAAACAAAATGAATGAATCCATACTTAAAATGCATCTATATACATCCGTATGTAGTTCATAGTAAAATCTCTACAAAAACTTATATTTAGGAACGGAGGAAGTATATAGTGCCAAAGTAGTAACCCCTTGTGAGATTCTCCGTTCTGCCATAATGACTGCCGAGAGGTTTATATATACATTATTGAGACCCCTCAGAGGGAGAGAGCCCGTCCTTATTTGTAGTTTATATATTGCCGAGGTTCTGTCCTGTCTTAGCCTGATTGGTGTGTGAACAGATATGTCTGAGAAATGGCAAAGTTCATGGGTTTGTGTAATCGAATAAATGCCACAAGATAGGTTTTGTTTTTGAGACATTCACAAAAATAGGTTAACTGTTTAACAGATGGAATACTTAACAAAGTGCATGCTCTTGCTGGAGGAAATGCTGGCGCTGGACGGATCGAACGAGGTGGTTTTGGGCTGGTTTGGGCCATTGAGCCAAGCCAGTCTCAGCCCGGTCCAAAGCGGCACAATTGGGCTCGAGTGTGCTCAGCCCATGTAGAGGTCCTCGTGGCTGCTCTCCTCCTCTTCCTCTACCATGGCTATATCGCAGCTCCAATATAACTCTAGAAGGTTCCAAAAACCGAAAAACGCTCCAACACATTAATGGGCCGGCCCAGGTCGCCGCTCGATCGCGAGCTCTGTGCGTTACGTTGACAATTCGACGCAACGAGCGGCAAATGGAATTCCCACTCCGGCGGCCGGCCTGCGTTGAGATCGATCGATACAGGCGAGAAGACGAGGCACTGCCGCCCTTTGGCGTCAAAGAAAATGAGGCCCAGACCCAGATATGTAGGGCGGGCCCATGTGTGTTTTACGTACAAGCGCAGCGTGTGCCAAAAGAAATTCACACAAGTTTTAAAAACCATTCTCGTTTTCTTCCATAAAATGTTCATGTTACCAAATAATGGTCTAACAAAATATTCAGATTCAAAAAATGTTAGTTTCAATTTTTTTGATGTGTTTCTAAAAAACTGAATGAAAAACTAAGTACAAACCCCAAAAGTTGGGAACTATAATGAAAATAGAAAAACATTCCCTACAATATGTTGTCCGAGTCGATATCGAGCGTCAATGGGCCCGCCTAGTCTCGATGCTCCTGTGTGGCACCCTCTTATTTGACACATGTGGGAATAACTTAATTTTTTTTTTCTCTAGCATGTTATTTCCTTCAAGTTTCAGTGTCAGTGTCCGTCGATGTCCCTTGGGAGCTCCTATTCCATGTTGAAAGGATGAGATTGTTATGCGGTCCGATGAAGCTCTCGCTCGCTCAACTCGGCTTCGTGCTCCCTCGTTGGCTTAGTTTTTTCCCTTCACTCCCGTGCTAGCTCAGTAAAAATGGCTATCGTTTATTTATTTGAAAAAGTTTGTCAAATCAAAAAATGTTCATAGATTTAAAAAATGTTGCACATTAACAAAACCATAATTGTTAAAAAATATTCGTGAGCTTACAAAATATGAGTGGATCTCAAACAATGTTCGTGAATTAGAAAAAGCTTCACAAATTAGAAAATATTCATAGACTTGAAAAATGTGCATGAACTTTCAATATATTTGTAATTTTTTTTCTTTACTTTCAATAAATCCTCAAGATATTTATTAAATGTTCATGAATGAAACTGCGAAAAAAGGAAGAAAATAAACAAACAGTTGGTAAATTCATCAAGCAAGGAGATGGCTCCACGCAACCGAGTGAAGGAGAGCACTCCATTTTGAGCGAGCATAGTTACTTAGTTGATTTGAAGTTTTGTTCTTAGCCTAGTGAAACTTTTGTTTGTCATGCTTCAAATAGTGTTTCTGTTGTATGTTGCTGATTTGAAGTTTTGTTCATAGCCTAGTGAAACTTTCGTTTCATGCTTCAAATAGTGTTTCTGTTGTATGTTGTTTAAAAGTGTGTATATGTTGTGGATGGTGTTGACAGAACTATATATGTAAAACTCTGTCAATTGGTGTTCTTTTTGCCATTAGGTCTCCGATAGTGATGGGCTTCATAACAATAACCATGTGTGCTGTCAATTTTGTGTGTATCAGGAAACACAACACCGACCTGCTATAGTTAACAGCAGTGACCGGTTAATGACCGTTCATTGGACGGCTGATGACTCACAAGTATAGGGTATCTATCACAACCTCTTTGATAAGTAAGAGCGTTAAACCCAAAGAGGAGAAAAAGGAATCAACAAGAACTTTTTAGCAAGATTTCACTACAAAAGCTATAAAAGTAATTTGATAGGATGTTTGATAGCAAGATAATTCATAAGATGGTAAAAATAAAGAGCAGCTAGTGGCCCAATCCTTACATATGGTAAGGACAAGTGGTTGTGTTTCTTATAGTGATCAAAACGCTCTTGAGGACACACAGAAATTTCGCCAAGTCACCTTCACCAAATTACATTGAGTTACGTTTTGTTGTTTTCATAAGTGTTGTGCGGGTAGACATGCACTAAGGTACTACCCTTATTTGGACAAATAACTAGTTATGATTGTATTCTCCATGTAAGTATTTGCAAATACAAGAGAAATAATTAAGATAAATGTACCATAGCATTAACTTTAGGATCAAATCAGCTCCTTGTGCAATAATTCATAAATTGGGGTTTAGGTTTCTATCAATCTCGCAACCAATCATCTACAAACTAGTCCCACAATGTCTTCCCCTAGTACCAATGTTGGTGCTTCAGATAGTGTTTTTGTTGTATGTTGCTTAAAAGTGTGTATACGTTGTGGATGGTGTTGGCAGAACTATATGTATGTAAAAATCTGTCCAATTGGTGTTCTTTTTGCCATTAGGTGTCCGATAGTGACGGGCTTCATAACAATAATTGTTGAACATGTCCTTCATACCCAAATGTTGAACATGTTGCCTTTTAGTGGGCTAACACTTAGCGCCATACAACATTGCGGGTCGAATCGCCATCCTATAGAACCTGGCTTTTAGCTTACATGTCAGAGAGAATGCCAGAAGCTTGGCGCCACTTCATCCATCCGACTTTGATTAAATGGTTCACATCCTCATAGATACCCCCAATCCTTCTACAACATTGACCCCAAATACCTAAAGGTGTCCTTCCGAAGCACCATCTACCCATCAAGACTAACTCTTCCTCCTCGTGCCTAGTAGTACTCAAACCACACCTCATGTACTCGGTTTTAATTCTACTAAGTCTGAAACCTTTCAATTCCAGGGTTTGTCCCCATAGCTCTAACTTCCTATTAACCTCGTCCAACTATCATCCACTAGCATCATATCATCCGCAAAGAGCATACACAATGGAATATCTCCTTGTATATCTCTTGTGACCTCATCCATCACCAAAGTAAAAAGATAAGGGCTCAAAGCTAACCCTAGTGCCATCCTATTTTCATCAGAGAGTCATTAGTGCCACCATCAATTGTTCGAACACTAAACGATATTCAAAATACTAAACGATATCCAACACACATGATTACTGTTGAGGAATGTAGTATTTCAAAATTTTCCTACGATCACGCAATATCTATCTAGGAGATGCATAACAACGAGATGGGAGAGTGTATCCACGTACCCTTCATAGACCGAAAACGGAAGCGTTTAGTAACGCAGTTGATGTAGTCGAACGTCTTCGCGATCCAACCGATCCAAGTACCAAACGTACAACACCTTCGCGTTCAGCACACGTTCAGCTCAATGACGTCCCTCGTGCTCTTGATCCAGTTGAGGACGAGGGTGAGTTCCCGTCAGCACGACAATGTGGCGATGGTGATGATGATGTTACCGGCGCAAGGCTTTGCCTAAGCACTATGGCGATAGGATCGAGGTGTGTAACTGTGGAGGGGGGCACCGCACACGGCTAAGGCAAGACTTGGTGTGTTCTTGAAGGAAATATGCCCTAGAGGCAATAATAAAGTTATTATTTATTTCCTCATATCATGATAAATGTTTATTATTCATGCTAGAATTGTATTAACCGGAAACATGATACATGTGTGAATACATAGACAAACATATAGTCACTAGTATGCCTCTACTTGACTAGCTCATTAATCAAAGATGGTTATGTTTCCTAACCATTGACATGTGTTGTCATTTGATTAATGGGATCACATCATTAGGAGAATGAGGTGATTGACATGACCCATCCCGTTAGCTTAGCACTTGATCGTTTAGTATTCTGCTATTGCTTCCTTCATGACTTATACATGTTCCTGTAACTATGAGAATTGTGTAAATCTCGTTTACCGGAGGAACACTTTGGGTGCTA